TGAACGCGTGCAATACGGGAGACCAAGACTCGTGAAGCAGGTGACCGAGTTCTGAACTTTCCGTTGACAAGCGGAGCCGACAGCCGAGTGGCGAGCGCCCTAGGGCTTGGTGCACCAGACACCCTCAGCCCAGGGGTCGAATCCTGGTGGGGGCGAACATTTTCTTGTTGTTTTTTTGGCAGGGGGAGGGGGGGCTGCTGAGTAGGCGGTCTAGTCCACCTCCCCATGTCGGCTGGTCTTTTGTCTTAACCCTTGGTCCCCGCGCCGCAAACTACTAAATATGAAAAAATGCGCCTCGGCCAGTATTCGAATCGACAACCATCCGCGTCCCGAGCGCGCGCTCTACCGACTGAGCCAATAACGCTGTTGCGTAAAGCTTACCTCCGCTGTGGCTCTCACCCTAAAACACGTGGCCGGCAGAGGTGCAAAAGGGTTCCTCCGACGAGATTCGAATCAGCGACCATCTGCGTACCGGGCCATCACATAGGTGTTGCACGGATGAAAACTTATGGCCAGCGAAGCGCGAAAAATATCACTCAGACGGGATTCGAACCTGCGATCAAGTCCATGCTGGGGCAGGACGCTACCGACTCAGCCCCGGGTGAACGATAGTCTACGCAGCTCCCGGCGACATCCGGATCTCAGCTGTCTCTGACACCCGAAGACACATGGCCAGCCGAGCGGGAAAAATGTTCCGCGGACGGGATTCGAACTAGCGACCGTCCCTACGCTTGGCCAACGCACACGCTTTAGCACGCTCGACTACCAGATCGACCTTCCCGGTGCTAGTTCTGAGCTCGGTCCTGCCATACAGAAGAGAAGAGGCGCAAAAAAAAAAAAGTTTGACCCAGCCGGCAGTCGATCCCAGGGCCGACAACTTTGGTTCGGCTGTAACTATGCGTATGCGACCGTGTCGACTGTGTAGCGGGGGCGTAGGATATCCTATATCGCCGGTGGCCACATGTTTGTGTCCACAAACAGTGGCGTGCACAGCGCAACCCAACACCTCGCCCGCCTGGCGGCTGCCGGTAGGTAGGCCAGCCCGCGAGGCAGTCGGCGAGACTGTGCTGCCTACCCTGTCGTCCGCAGGCGTTTCGTGGATCCGTGCCGCGCAAGGAGAGATAGGCGGCAGTTCTTGATTTGGCGCAAGTTTATCAAATTCGCTTTGTATCTAATTAGATGACAGTTGCTGGTTAAATTTTGAGCCCAGTTAGGGAGGTTGGGGTTTTCAATTTGAAAATGCCTTTTACCACTTTACGTCTAATTTCGATACTTTTTCCAACTATCTCCAGTATTCGTTTCTCTAAGTACCCCCGAATATGAAACTCAGCCCACAGTTTGACCGGCGATTTGCCATCTTCATGGATAGGAAGCAAATTTATCGAGTTTGAGCAAAATCGTGAACTTCCACCAACCTATGTCTCCTTGTGAGTAGCGTTATACATGACGCTACTCTAGCGCATGGTGGACGTCCAGAACAAGCAGAGATACGTGTTGTAAACGTTCGCGGATATGAGGGGAGAGTAGCCAGGGCGTTCCTGACCCAGATTTCGACGCCTAGGCTGTTGGCGGAAGGGCCTAGTCCTAACGCAGGTGCGCGCAGGTGCTCAGCGCTGGTCGTGCTCACCGGTGTCCGGTAGTCCGGTCGGCGCTGCTGAGGACTAAAATGTTTCTTTTCGGACTTCAGGCGTGACGAGGCCGCCTACCGAAGAGGGGTTCAAAATGATCGACGACGACATGACCTGCACCATTCCGGACCCCCTGTACCGAAAGCTATCGCCCGAAAAGCGGGTCGAGCTGGCCGGGAAGATACGGCACCTCTACTTCAAGGGAGCCCATGTCACCGAGGAGACGGCTGGGTCCGTCATCGACGTAAGAAACCAACCTTGTTGGTGCAAAACTTGCTTCCCTATGTGGATTTTACCATAAGATCTAAATGCCGCGACCTGCCTGCAGCTCTTTGGAGACCTGCAACTGACGCATGGAATTCACGTGACATCGAAGTGGTTTGCCCACTACTCGTCTGCCAACAACCCACTGTACATTTACTTCTTCACCTTCGCGTCTAAATTCGGACTTTCCTTTTTCTTCTCGACGAAAAATCTGAAAGGTAACACGCTGTTTGACTCACTTACTCCAACACTGAAAAGTAAACAATGACGACACATCGCGCCCATAATCTTGCTCGACAGGGGCCGGCCACGGGGAGGAGCTGAGCTACGTCTTTCGGCACCATCTGTTCAAGAACCACCCGACCCTGAAGCAGACCGCGCGCGAGCAGGCGATGCGTGAGACGATGGTCGGACTGTTGTCCAACTTCATCAAGTCCGGGTAAGCGAAGCAGGCACGGCACGCATATCCATATGGAGCGCCTGTGGAGGCCGGGGTAGGCAGCACAGTCCTACGCGACTGCCTCGCGGGCTGGCCTACCCGGCAGCCTGCAGGCGGGCGAGAGCTGCGCTGCGCTTCCAGGAAACCCAAGTGTGTGAATGTGGCGCACTTGTAGGTGTGTGAACGCCATTTTGTACACTTGGAGGAGGGGGAAGTGTGTGGGTTTCGAAAGAAAATTCACACCTTTACTCTTATTAGTGTACCAGTGTTACCTCAGGAAATACGTTTGTAGGGACTGCCAATAGGAATAACCGTTTAAAAAGTATTTTCCTTGCTAGTGAGATGGCTGTGCTCCAGCTCATGATACTTGTTCTCTCTTCGCATTTAGAAACCCCACGCCACACAACGCGACGGTGGCTGCAGATACCCAGAAGGTCAACATCAGCTGGCCCGCCGTTCATCCTGGACGAATGAATTACCTGGAGATTGGCGATGAGCTCTCTGTGAAGAAAGACTTTCTCAAGGAGCGCATGAACTTCTGGGACAGAGTTTACAGGGACACATTAGGGACGCCGCTCTACGACTTTTTTTGATTTAACGACATTGAAGCCTTCGGTCCTTCGGTCGATTGCGAGCGTCCATTGTTTTCTATTATTTATTGGCCGGGGGGTCAGACATAACTTGACCAACCAGACCTAACTGACTATAATGTATTAACAAGTTGAGTCCTGGGCCACAATAAGCCGCTTTTGCGACTGCGACCCCCCTGGGACTCAACGTGTTAAGGCGAACTTTATGAGATAAGTATTCTGTAAAATTGATTTTTTAATTGAACTTAAAAATAAATACAGATAATCCGTTCATCAGTTCAAAATAGTTTGGAGGTGATTCCAGCTATAATCGCATTGTAATACTTCTGGAGGCGTAGAGATTACAGCTTTGTTGAGAACAAAAACTGAAGACTTCTGATTGTTAGAAAAGTGTGGGCACAGCCCGGCCGACCTTTCATCGTTGAGCGAATTTAAAATTATTTAATTGGCTCCGTTTATCTTTTGGTTAGTTGTCTACGAGCTTGAAGATATTCCTTAGTTTCTTCACACCACTTGTCTGAAACAAAAAAAGCAGGAAAATGTCGGTGTGAACAAAACACTCCAACTCTAATACATACACATGTATTCTTTCTATACTTGATCGTAACCCACATGCTTAGTTCAAGGACGAGAAAAGGCTAAATTAATTTCCCAATGATAAAGGGGGGAAATGGGAGAGGGGAGGGGAGACAAAGTGGTAGGATGCGCTTCAGAGGAGCCCGGCTGACACGGCCAACATTATTTTCTTCAGTTTAATTTTAAAGACAAATCAAATCTACTCATTGCAGTCGCAGATTAAGATCCGACTGGCCCAAGGGGGGGAACGGTGGGGGTGGGGTGGGTATGAGTTATCTACATGCACGAAAATTGCCTATCATGCAGGCGCCCTATTCTCACGCGAGAACAAAGCGTGCGTTCACGTGCCTATGCCCCCGTGGGCACAAGGGTTTAGTGCCGTTGCCGTCTCCCTACAGGACCCACCGCCAGCACGCGGGCAGCCCAACTTGTTGCCAATGACGTATGCTTTCCGAAAGAAAATACTTACTGTCTCTATCCCAGAGCTGTGATGGACAATCCTGAAACAACGCAACATTTTTCTGAGAATTGGTTATACTGAACCAAAAATAAAAAACAATAACTCACAAAAATGTCAACAGTACCCTAATTATTATTATTTTTTGTTTTTGGGGTGGGGGGGTAGTGTTTGACTTACTGCGTGTAATTCCTCCCACACACAGTAACTGAAGTCCAGATATGCTCGGTTGCAATCTCTGCTACCGAATCCAAACCAATTTGATGCCGGGTCAGCTACGAAGGAAGAAAATGATTGAACCACATTTAATAGTAGCGGATAGGCAGGAGCAGGCAGGGGGGGTATAACAGAGCTCCTGGAAAACGTTCTTCCACCACCCCTTGTCCCTCTGTAGACTGGTTATAGAGGCGCTTTCGGGAGCTCCGTAATCCCCCTCCAGAGAAAGGGCTGCACGCTTACGGTTTCTCGACGGCAAGCACTTCGCAACGGCCACCTCAGGGAAATTCATGTTGGGCTCCTTCCTGCCTCTGCCTTCTCTATACCGGTCTCTTAGTCTCCCCGTCAACCTATCATAGCGATCGTCCATCTGAAAAGATTTCGGTCAGAAAATTACTTAAGAATTGTTTTGACTTGAAAAACAATTCATTAAGGAGTACGCAACCTCACCGTGCCTCTTTTCTTCCACATACATTGTTGTAGGCATACGACTTTTTGAGCCACAGTTTTGGCTGCGTCTGTGTCGAAATAATTCCATGAATCTAGAAAATCTGCAAAACAGAGGGTTTTCTTCATTAAAAAAACGTATGGAGAAAAAAATCACATCATCGAAGAAATCTGATTTTGTACCGGAACTTTTGAACACTTCCTCATAACATTCTCTTCTTACATTGTCTTCGCGCATCATGTTCTTATCGGAGTACGTCCCACAGCATATCTGAAACACCGTTAATTAATACCCCGCATGAATGTTTATTATGGTATTTAAAGTCTCGCTACGCTACGAACCTCGTTTCTAAATCTCAGCTTCTGTCGAAGCTCCGGGTCTCTGTCTGCAGCGAAGTTTTCCCTCTTTGGCATGTAGAAGTCGTCCATTTGGTCGAAGAGTGCTCTATCTGCAAACAGGACCCGAACGGTCACCCGCTGCACCATCGAAACCAACGCAATGCTGTGACTCAGGTATGATCACTCTTAAATATCACGACATCGTCCAGAAAGTACGTCCGTTTTTTCTCAAATTCATTCGGCATTGTACCGGAGCTCGGCGCCTGCGAGACTCTGGGTAGGCCAGCCCGCATGACACGCATGCACTGCAGGCAAGATATTGCCTACCCATCAGGCGCTATGAGAGCTTGCACAGGCTGATCTTGCCTGCTTCGTAACGGCGAATGACGGCCGCACTTTCTAACTGATCTCCGGTCGTAAACCACAGAAGCTCACTGTAGTACGGGTTATCCAGGTTGTAGGCGGCTCGGCTGGAGGTGATCACCGTCGCCACGATGCTGAGGAGGGTCGACGCGCTCATGCTGAGGGAGCTCGGAATCAGACTGGCCAAACCCAGCACCGGGACAACACTTTATTTAACATGATGTTCGTGTCGCGTCCGCCTCCCCCTCCCCCGGACCCTATACTGTCGTTTGGAGCGCGACTCCCACGGCAACAGCAGCGATATGTACTACCCAACAACGACAACATCAAACCTCCCAGCCGGCCCCCTCCTCCTGCCCTTCGTCCAGCTCGCCGATGAACTTGGGAGCCCGGAGCGGGAGCAGGGCGATGGTCAGGGACGAATCCGCGGTGCACCGACCGTCGGGGAATCCCCTCTGCCGTCATGTTACCCGACCGTACCCCGTCTTCACCATTGTCCGGGTTCATTTTAAGACTATGTTCTACTTTGTCCAGGGTTCCTTTGGAGAGTCAGCTTCTGCTCCAACGATCAGGGCCGTGGGCCGTGAAAAGGACGAGGAAGGTCATTAATAGATGTATGTTTTTGAAGAGGATAAAAATCGCGGGCACACATGTGGTGGCATGCAGCAGCCAGGTAATGGTATTCGATATTCGATAAGATAAGGTCTCGGACGAGGCCGTTGCATGCATGTGGTCCCCGATGTCGATATGCGTATCACGTGCATCAAAACACAATTATGCGCTGAAAAGAAAAAAACTTGAGTGCAGCGGCTTGACGTCACGCGTTTATGGCAAGCGGATGTTGCGGGAAATGAAATGCCGGTGTGACATTTCGTGCGCCGAGGCGAGCCCGTGGACACAGGGCCATTACGAGCGGGGGCCTTGAACGTGAACCTTATCGTATGGTCAATGCAGTCCGCGCGAATCGGTCCACGCGAATCTGATTCTGGCTGCAGCCGGGGGGTTGGGGGG